TAAGAATAGATTTACCTTTTATTGATTATTAAAATTTTTTAATATAGACTAGTGGATCCATCCTAACAATTTAGAAAGAATCCTCAATCTTTTTGAGAGAAGGTCTCAAAATCTCTATATTTTAGATTATCCTTTAAATAAGTATCTCTTAATTGCCTTTAAAAATATGATTAAGGTTATTTTTTGTGTAGGGAGCAGTGTATAAATCTTACTGTATTTTTTATGGACAATAGATCTAGTCAGAGAACTTATATCAATAAATTGTTTTAAGTTTGTAACCTTTATTATTTAAAATTAATATATAACTTTAATTTGGAGAACCTTAGTCTTAATAAAATGTTTTTTTAAATTTTATAATTATCTAACAAACAAAATATGTAAAAATTAGTATCTCAGTGTCTTAGAATCAATTAAGACTCTAAGGACAATTGTTAAAATCAGGATTTAAGTTAGTAGTTCAATATACTTAATATTTAATCAACAATGTGAATTTATTTACCAAAATTAATCTTTGTCTTAAACAATAAAAATTATTAGGCAATAAAGATCTTTCTTAAAAGAAATAAACTTACATTTTAATAGGTGCTTATCATGTCAAAATATGGACAAAATCTTAGCTCACATTAGTATAGTTAAATTAGGAAAATAGCCTGAAATACCCTTAAATTAATTATAGTCAGTTTAGTATATATAAATCTCTTTTTTATTCGTTCTAACTTTTTACATCATCTGTTTAGATAACAATATAAAAATCTTTTTTACTTAGAAAAATACTTTTTTCATTGAAATATGAATATAAAGACCTTGTTTTACCCAAAGATGATTTCTTTTTTCTGTTTAGGATCCATGTGTGCTTTTTCTTTGTTGGAGCATCTTTTTCTTTTAGAAAATTTTTTTTGGTTATACTTTGGAACAATTTCTGAAAACCTTAGAATCTATAAACAAATTATTATACTTTTATAAGAAATATCAATGAAAATATACTTAAAATCCTTAGATATTTTGTAGACATGATTATAATTATTTATCATCTTATGAGTTTGAACAGTAACTTTGAGAATTAGAAACTACTTGAAGATTGCATTTCACTTAAAAGCAAATTTATAGTAAACATATTTATCTTAAATATCTGTAACTGAAAAGGCAGAGTATCTGATAAATGTAAATATAAAACATAAATTATGGGTTTTCTATTGAAGAAAAACAATTAGGCAAATATATATTACCTAATCAATTAGGCATGTGCTAATTATTTTATAGATTAACAAATATAGGTTATCTAAATATCTAAAAAATATATATTAAGAATAAGAACATAACTTATAATTGTATTAATTTTGTGTAACCACGTGGTTTTAAAATATTTGGATCCATTTTAATTTATTTTTAACTAGGAGTGCACTCTTCTATGTGACGGTCACTTGATGTAACTGAAATAAAATCCTTGAGTATACATATTTATTTTTAATAGTTAGGAATGAGAATAAGGATATTTTGGTCATCACAGGAACATTGCCGACTTTGTTCCTGTGGCGAGCAAATGCATCCTCATAACCTCCAAAATTAAAAGTAAAATATAAAGAAGCATGTTTGATATCTCTCATCAATAGAACATTATTTAGTAACACAACTATAGAGAAAAGTCAGGTTATTTAACTCAGAACTTAAATTTAGGGCTGCAACATAGAAACCTATGGAATTAAATTTTGTTTGAAAAAGATATCTTTTGTTAGCATTTACAGGTAGGCATTCTTAAAAATACAGGCTCTGAACAGCTCCAGTAGAAATCTGAAACACAGTAGTACAGGTTAGTGGCTGGAAGGCGGGACTAGATGTCCTGAGTGACTGTGGAAGAACCAATTGGAAGCCCGCGAAAGTGTGGGAGGTGGGACCAGGAAGCCCACTCTTCCGGCCAGGCACCCCCTGGTTACCATGGTGATGCAAACAACATGGAGTCCGCTGCCCATTTTCGGGGCAAAAGTTCCCCAAGTTTTCCTAGCCAATTGCATTTTGTTTGATTTTGTCTGCATTTTCCCCCTGCTTGGCCAAGATCTGTCTCTCAGACCTGCGGTTGCAGCTCATGTACATCCTGCACTTTTTTCTGTGGCATGTGGGTGTTCCAAAGGCTTTTTAGCAGCAAATGCTAGCATTACCATCAGATCTTAAGTTAGTCTGTGTTTGGCATTTAGGTCAAGTAATTCAAGGGTTAAAGGCACTGCTGGCTGCAGGGGCTAGGACCCCATCGCGAGCAGCAAGCAGCGGCTAAAGTCTCTTGTCCCCAGCGGCTGAGTTACAGCCATTCTGATTCACAGGACAATCATGTAGTAAAAGGGTCCATACATACTTTCTGAGTATTGACAAAAACAATAGAAAATTGAAACTTATTTCTCTCCAGGTAAACATCACATTTTCTCTCCCTTTTTCTCACTCTCCTAGAGCAAACTTCTAGAACATAAAGGCCAAAAAATCTCTCTCTCTTTTTTTAAAGCTTTTGTTTTTTTTATGTAATGCTGAGGATCTAACTCAGGTTCCACCCATGCTAGGCAAGCACACTACCACTGAGCAACAATCCTAGCCCCCAAAAAATCTTTTATAAAGATTTATAAAAACAATTTTTAAAAGTCCACAAAAGCAAGCTTTCCATGGAGAGGACTCAACAACATAGCCCATCAATCTCTTAATAACTATATTTATTTAGAGTCTCTACAATTATACCCCAATATTAAAAATTTTAACATCACAGATTTTCCTTTTGTCTAATTCACTTACTTTCTACAATTCTGCCCACAATACTCTGCAATCCTAAGCATGCTTAACTTCTGGAGAACTTCAACTTCACTAACTTTCTTTAATATTTAAATTGGAGTCCTCTTAGGAGCCAGCATTTGTCACTTTTGTCCTGGTGGCTTAAAGACACGGACCTTTCAGCCCACATTGGAGGCCAATTGCCTGGTTTCTGTTCTCTCCACTAAAAGGCTCAGGGGTCACTCTGGTTAAAATGGGCTGACTGGGCTGCACAAAATAACCACACAAGAGACACAAATACCTTTTTCTTTGGGGTCGCTATGATGGCTCCTCTGACCTTAAGGGTCCACAGAAAGAGAGAGAGAGAGAGAGATAGAGAGAGAGAGAGAGAGAGAGAGAGAGA